GGTGGCGCGGGGCGGCATGGGGCACTTTGGGGGGTCACTGGGGCAATCTGGGGCTGGCACAGGGAAGTTTGGGTGTGGCACAGGGCAGGTCAGGGCTTGCACAAGGCAGGCTGTGGGGGTCATGGGCAATTTGGAGGTTGAACACGGCAGTTTGGGGAGCACAGGGGTGATTTGGAGCTTGTATGGGGTAGTTTGTGGGTTTTGGGGGCCCCAGGGTGGTATTTTTGGGGTGTAACCCCCTGTTTTTGGTCGCAGGGGGAGTTCTGTGCGGAGGCGGTCCGCGAAGGGCTGGTAGTGGCCTTCGTGCGCTGGCTCTGCCGTACCGCCCGGGGCTTCGCCGACGGCCCGGCTGAGCGGGGGGCCCCCGCGGCACCCCCGGCCCTGCTGCTGCTCCTTGCCCGCCTCTGTCTTGACTATGAGGCCACCACCATCAGTTACATCCTCACTCTCACCGATGAGCAGTTTCCCCCCCAGGTGAGCCCCCAAAACTGAGCCCCATGGTCCGCGTGGAGGTATGGGGATCTTCCTTCTGTCTTTGTGTGCCCTCATATGTCCCTGAGGGACCCTAAAATGTCCCCAGGTCCTTCCCTGTGCCCTGCTGTCACCCCATGTCCATCCAGGATATGAGCAGTGCACATGGAGGCAGAAGGGTCCTTACCTGTGCCAGTGTCTCCCAAATGTCCCCAAGGGGCTTCTGCATGTCCCCAAGTCCCCCCAGATGCCCCAAGGATATGAGGATGGCAGCGATGCTGCTGCAGGTGGGGTGGCCCGGAGAGCATCCCATGTGTCCCCTGATGTCCCTGTCCCCCCAGGACATCAGATGGTGGAGGTACAGGGGGGCATCCCCACATGTCCCCATGTCCCTTGTATCCCCAGGCCACAATGCCAGTGGTGACGGTGGGGACAGCGCTGTGCGTGGAGATGTGTGGGGTGTTCCTACATGTCTCCGCATGTCTTGCATGTCCCTTGCACCCCCAGGACACGGGCCCGGCAGTGACACCGGGACCAGCACTGTGTGCAGAGGCGCGGGGGGCGGCGCAGCGGCTGCTCGACCACTACGTGCAGGTCCAGGGCGCCGCGGTGGCACAGATGCTTAGGAAGAGCGTGGAGACGCGAGACTGGTTGGGCACCGTCGAGCCCCGCAACGTTCGTGCTGTAATGAAGCGCGTGGTCGAGGACATCACCGCCATCGATGTCCAGGTTGGGGCAGCACCAGGAGCCCAGAGGGGCTGGGGAGGGGCCTGAAGTCCCCTGGGGGGTCCCAGACATCCCAGAGGGTTCCTGGAGAGGCCCTGAGGTCCCCATAAGGTCCTTGAGGATCTTTGGGGGTTCCAGAAGGTTTTGGGAGGGTCACAGAGGATTTGAGGGATCCCGGGTGGTTTGGGGGGGGTCCCAGAGGGTATTTTGGGTGGATTCTGGGATACCAGCGCTGAGAGAGTGTGGTGCCGCAGGTGGGGCAGCTCTTCGAGGAGGGGGTGCGGCGGGCGCAGAGCAGCGATTCGAGCCGGCGCGCCTTCTCCGTCTACAGCAGTTCACGGGCACCCGGGCGCTACGCCCCCAGCTACACCCCCAGGTCAGCCCTGTCACCCAGGCCACCTCTCGGCCACCCTCTGGGCCTTCCTTGGTCACCCCCAGGGCTGCCCTGTCACCCCTGTGCTCCCTGTGTAGCGGTAACCGCTATATCTTCCCCGTGACCCTCTTCATGTCCCCAGACTGTCCCAGTATTCCCAATATCCCCGTATGTCCCAACCATCCCCGTGTTCCCCCGACTGTCCCAGTATCCCCTGATGATCCCCATATGCCTTGCGTCCCACGATTGCCTCGTCTCTCCGTGTCCTTGACCATCCCCCCGCTCCCTGAGTGTCCCCACATCCACCGCCCATCCTCATGTTCTCCTGTCTTTGTGTCCCCAAACAGTCCCAATATCTCCTGACCGTCCCTGCATCCTCTGACCACCTCTGTGTCCCCATCCCTGTGTCGCCTGACAGCCCCTGTGTCCCTGCCCCCACATCCCCTGGCTTTCTCAAATACTTGACTGTCCCCGTGTCCCTGACTCTCCTGGTGTCACCATCCCCAGCGCCCCCATGGACACCCACCTGCTCAGCAACATCCAGAAGCTCTTCTCCGAACGCATTGACATCTTCAGCCCTGTCGAGTTCAACAAGGTGAGGCCACGGGGACATTCCCATGTCCCCAAGGGCCCCCCGTGTCCCCAAGGTCCCTAAACTGCCCACCTTCCCGGCTTTCACATGTCCCTGGTGTCCCCATGACCCAGGTGTTGGGGCCCTGGGGGTCCCCAGGAGCTGATGACCAGGACAGGGATGTTGCCACTGTCCCCTGATGCTCCCCTGTCCTACGTGTCAGGACTCAGGAGGTCCCTGCGGCTGATGACCAGGGCGAGGGTGTCCTCCTGTCCCTATGCTGACTTGACTCGGGGCCTCCCTGTGCTCCCAACAGGCAGGCCAAGGGTGTCCCCATCCCCCTGTGCCACGTGTCCCCTATGTCCCACTGTCCCATGTGTCCAGGCTTGGGAGTGGCAGCCAGGACAGGGGTGTCCCTTGTGTTGCCCATGTGCCCATGCTCATGGGACTTGGGGCCTCCCCGCACGTGAAGAATCCAGGCCGAAGGAGTCCCCATTCCCCTGTACCACATGTCCCTAGTGTCCCCACATCCCGTGTGTCAGGACGCAGGGGATCCTTGGGGACTGCTGACCAGGATGAGTATCCTAGGAACTGATGGCCTGCAGAGGGGTGTCCCCAATGTCCCCACATCCCCGTGCAGACGTGACTCAGGGCCTTCCTGCCCTGGGGGCATCCCTGTCCCCCTGTGCCCCATGTCCCTGCTGTCCCCACGTCCCAGGTGTCGGTGCTGACTGGGATCATCAAGATCAGCCTAAAGACGCTGCTGGAGTGTGTGCGGCTGCGGACATTGGGGCGCTTCGGGCTGCAGCAGGTGCAGGTGGACGGCCATTACCTGCAGCTCTACCTCTGGCGCTTCGCCGCTGACGAGCGGGTGGTGCAGGGGCTGCTGGACGAGGTGGCTGCCAGCGCCGCCCACCGCTGCCTCGACCCCGTCCCCATGGAGCACAGCGTCGTCGAGCTCATCTGCGAGCGCGGGTAGGACATGGGGACACACAGGGGCATGGGTTGATGTACAGGACATGGCGTCGCGTAGCGGGGGGACACAGGGACATGGGACATCTGTGTCACCATGGGGCACAGCCGAGTGGGGACATCTCTGGGAGGGGCACGTCTTAGGTCCTGTTATGTGTCTGGGGACAGACCTGTACCCCGTGAGTCCCCACACATACATGGGGACGCTCCATGTGTCCTCCCCCACATGGCAACACACAAGGACGTCCCATGTCCCCACACCCACACAGGGTCACCCCACGCCGTCACGCCCCCCCCCCCCCACCCCCAGCCCTGGGAATACCCCACATTGTCCCCCCACCCCAGTGACATCCTCAACGTGTGCTGACACCCTGTGTTGTCCCTGTGGCCCCAGTGACACACCATGTCATACCCCCACCTTGGTGACATCCTTCATGCCTGGGAACACCCTGGGCACAGCCCCTTTGTCACAGCCAGGGACAATAAATAAAATGTGTGAGCTGTGCTTTGTGTCCCCTGCCTGTGCCTGGGGTGGGGACGGGACGCAACAGGGACAGACGCCTGGGTCCCTGGGGGGAGGAGCAGTGGGGGTGTGTAGGGATGAAGGGGGGTCACCCGGATGCCTGGGCCCCTTGGCCACCTGTGCCCCATGGGGCAGTGGGGATGGGGGCAGACCCGGCCCCTCGCATGACCTCGCACAAACAGCCTTCCTCTCCCCCCCGCCAAACCCTTGCACAAGCACCCTGTGTGCACCCAGTGCCTTGCACGAGCACCCAGGGAGCATCCAGCCCCTCTCATGAGCAACCTGGGGGCTCCTAGTGCCTTGTCCAGCCCTCACGTGAGCAGCCAGTGCCCTCCCAGCCGCCTCTCACAAGCACCTCGCACGCACCCAGGGCCTTAGACAAGCAAGGGGGCTGCCTCCCTGCACACCCCAGCTGGCTGCGGGACCTCAGCAGAGCCAGCGCTGCTCATGAAGCTCCTGCTCATCGCTGCTGGGCACCGCAAGGGGGTCCCGGGGTGCCCGGGGGTGAGGCGGGGACAGGAGCAGGGTCAGGGGCACAGGCAATGCCCTGGGTGTGTGGCCGGGGAGGGGCTGTGCTGGAGAAGCAGCCCTCTGAGCACTGGCGCTGGAAAAAGAGATTCCCCACCTCTGGGCTGGGGTGAAGGGTGTCCGCAGGGGTCAGGGACAGCCGGCACGGCAGGGGTTCATACGCTGAATGAAGTCCCCGACCTGTCCCATGCAGGGATGAGAGTCGGTGTGAGACAGCAACGGACTGACAGCAATGAAATAGTCCCAAACCATAAAAATCAGGGACCGAAAACCTTAGCGGGCACAAAACAAAGTGCTGGGTAATGCTTGGGGTCATTAACTTGGAGCACGAAACCATGGGGGCGCAAAAACCTGGGGACACGCTGCAGGTGTAAATACTTGCACACTACTGATACAATCAGAAGAATCAAACTTCTTCTCATCGCTGTCCCAACCCTCCCAGGGTGACTTTGGAGAAGTCACTTCATCTGTCTCGGGAGCATCGAAGTTGAAAAACCTGGTCACCACGAACCCCCCAAACAACTTGGAGAGATGGACAGACAGACAGACACTCCTGCTGGAGGAGATCAGGAGCATCTGAGGAGTGTGGCAGACACTGGGGTCCCTCGAGTGGGATCCCCTGACCTGGGCTGGAGAGTTGATAATGTCGAATTCTCAGCTTGCGCTTTGTATCTTTTGACGCTTTTCCAAGAGGTCTGTGTCACAATCTTGATGTTGGAGGGCAAAGCTCTCACTTCAGTTGCTCTGGCTTCGCCATTCGAGGGACCCCAGTGTCTGCAACACTCTTTTTTTTTTACTATTTTACTTTTTTTTTTTTACTATTACAAATTAGTTACTAAGGGGGGAGAGAAAGAAGAAAATAAAGATATTCAGTGAGTAGTTCTTGGTGTCGGCAGCTGGGTATTTGCAGGTGTCAACTGATGTTTGGTATCTTGCTAGCTCCTGAAAGATAGGGGGGTCCCTAGATTTATGTTGTCTTTAGCACCTGACAAGTATCTGGAACAAAAAAAATTAGAACAATGTTTACAAAAAGATCAAAAATACAAGTACATTAAAAAAAAATCTGCTGAAGTTGAAGGGGACGCTAGACCTTTCTGATTATGAGTACTTGGATTGGCACCTGACCTGAAATTTGCCACAGCAGTTTCTTGGGAAAACACAAGAAAATCCATGTGAAAAGTAACCAAAGAAATTGCAGCCTAGGGAGTCTGTGCGCTCATAGCCGTTTAGGAGAGAAACAAGGCTCGGAGCTAGGACAGGTTCCCAAGAGTAGAACATTTCTAGAGGATTTTCTTTCTCCCTTCTCCTCTTTTGCCCTTGCATCTGCAGCGCTGGAGGAAGCAGCACGGATGGGCCGTGGGTGTTGGGTGGGAGGAGAACGTTGTGCTTGATAGGATCGCTAATGGAACAGCGGATTCTCACAGCCAAATCCAGTTGCTTCTGCTTCAGAAAGAAGGGGCCAATTCCACCCTCGCTGACACCGCTCTGAATCCAGCACGCGCTCAGGGAGGTTTTGTCAGTGTGGAGAGTCTTAGCTGAAATGCCTCCTAATTCACCCTTACCTCCTCTCCATGTCCTCTCTCTGTCCTACATGGAAAATCCAGAGTTGCTTTTGCACAGGGTGATCGGGGAATGGGCGTCAACGGGCAATGCAGGAATGAAGGCATGTCTTGCAGCCATGCTGGACAGCGTTGAACTGTTTGAGGAACAGGTGAGCAAATAGGATGATCTGGAAGAAAAAAAATGTTAAAACTTTCCTAAGAAATAAGTATTTTTCTCACGGTAATGTTCTTGCAGCTCATCAGCTTAGCCAGTTTTCCTCACTTTTTGTTTGTGCACTTGTCTAATTCTGTACTGCCAACAGTTCGGGTATTATCTTTTAAAAAAACCAAACTGTAAACCATCAAAATCCTCCCAAAGGAGGATTATCGAATCCATAATGCAAACATTTTGCTGGCGAGCAACAGTAATCCAGATTTGGTTTATACTCATTAGATATTTCAGGTTTTGTTCTTCTTCTGATGCAGTGATCCAAATGGCAAGGGTAGTTGTTTTAAAGCTGGTTTTGACTGGCAGGAAATCACTAGCAAGTCCTTTTAAACTCTGGTTCCAAGCATTTTGAGTACTACTGTAAATGTTTGTTTTGGATTAAATTTCCTACTGATTTTCCTCTCTTCGAGTGGAATAGATGCCAGAGGGTTATAGGGTGGGAGTATCTTGAAACCTCAGCTGAAAACTGGAACCCTTCCTACCCAGTGTTCACACTCGCAAAGAGACAACCTTTCCTGAAAGTGATCAGACTTGCTTTTGGGGGAGTGGGGGCAGATACGAATTGTGACATGACCGACTTCTGTGGCAGATCCAAAAACTAAACTGAGGTATCCTGAGAGGCATTTCATGTCTTCTCGCGGGATTGTGTTTCTTTTCACACTGCATTCTCACTCTGCAGACTTGTATGATCATTGGAGACCATCTCTGGGCTTGGGGTTAGGCGAGAAAGAAGAGCTGGCGAGCGCTTTTTGTTGAGATGCATTTGTGCATGGTGGCAAAATCAGCTCTTTCTGTTAGAAGTATCCTCAACTGGATGAGAAGGAAGGAGAAGGTAGAAGTAAATTGCAGGAATCCACAGGTGGTATGCACATATTCTGCACTTTTCAATGAATGCAGGTCCTGTATGACCTGATTCCCAATTCCGAAGTCAGTTTGGTATTTTTGAAAATACATATTTTGTCTGTTCCTTTCCACTGAATTGTTCACACTCACGTTTTTACTTTCGATTTCAGAGAAGAAACATTTAGTTTTGTTTCACAACAAAGCAACAAGAACGACAACAACCATTTTTCACGTTCCTGGAACAGACAGAATAGTGTTCAGTTCTGCTCATATGGAAAGAATTGCATCCTGCTTTTAATGAACAGGTTTATTGTTTGACTGATTCCTTGGTAGGACAAGAAGTACATGGACATGCCCTTCACTCTTTCTGAGCTGGTGAACTTGTTGACCTCATAGGTCTGATGTTAAATTGCTTCTGTTAGTAGCAAGAATGATAGGCCATACGGGATGCTTGTTTATTGGCAATTGTCTCATCTGCCCCTGGGCAGTTCCTGTGTTCAGAGCAGTATTTTGTTAAACTAATTGGGCCAAGCTGGCAGAGAACTGGATTCAGGTAACACTATTTGTCTTCAGAAAGACCTGCTGTGATTCTTCAGCAGGACATGAGCATCCTGGTCTTTCAAGTGCTAATCTGTGCAAAAAAGGACTTTGCAGATTGCCTTTCTTGGCAAGACTGGCTCCTTGCAACCGTTTTTCTAAAGTATGTGAGTTCTCATGGGCCCGGCTGCTCCCTGCATCTGTCACGCACATCCCCTTCAGCTGGTTGGATCATTCGTCCTCTGTGGCCAAAAGGTCCTGGGTAACGCTAACGATCCAGGCTGTTTGCTAGCACAAATTTCCTTCATGTTATCCTTTGCAGTCACAGGCACTAGGCTTGGAAACGTCAGGCTGTGCTCTGCCCGTGGTGACAAACCACTCGGCTCTTGCCACCGTCTGCCTTCAACCAAAAAGATTTTTCAGCATGCACAACGTTGTTCTTGTCAGGGTGGCTTCTGCATCCGTGCCGCTCCGCTGCCTGCTGGCAGGAGCCTGCTGCAAGTTTTGGAAAGCAGCAAATGCTGCTTTTTGTCGCTCCTATCACCGAACTTGATCCTGTTGTTGAATGATGAGGAGCGGTACTGACCATCTGAGGCACATAGGTCTAGGTCAACCTCACTGCTCGTTCTTTTCCTGCGAAGTTCAGTGTCATTGAGGATTAGCTAGCCTGGGATGGCTCTGCTTTCAAGGGCATGTAGTGGCAGTTAAAAATTGTTCTGCTTCTGCTCTTCGGCACCTCTGTGGAGTCCTGGGGGTGGACCCCATGGCACAAGCAGGACGGGAAAAGCGTGTGGCGTGGGTGTGAGGTGGAAGAGATGGGCAATGGGGGAACACCTTCGGTGGCTCACTCTCCCGTAGAGCAGTCTGTATTCAAGAGTACACATCAGTTCGTTCCAGAAAAAGGACGTTATACTTCCCTCAATCCTCACTGGATTTGTGAGTTCAAGTGGACTCAGTATGAGAGCGTGAAGCTGAAGAGAAGTGGTGGGGAAGCATTGAACAAGATGAACAGGGAGCCATTTCCTTGGGCGTTTAGAAGGGACACTGTCCCCTCTGGTACTTTCCTCTCGGTCCCATCTGCAAAGGAGCAGCCGAGAGCTCTGGGGTGAGATGCAGTT